GACTGCAAGCATCGTTTAGAATTCACAGCATAGAAATTAAAGCAAGAGGAAAACGATCATACAATGCCAGCTCAGTGTCGATGTAGGCCACTTTTTCCCATTATGTAAGCCCAATTGCGGCAGTGTGCGCGAAATGAGTTTTGCCAGTCCGGAATTCGCCAAAGACTTTGGTGATTGCCATCGTTTCTATACCACCTGGTGCGAGAGAGAGAGAGAGAGAGAGAGAGAGAGAGGATATGGATCTGAAGAGCCTCATTCCCAGTGATACTGGAAAGCCAGAAGAAAAATCCAGAGTAGTTGCGATCCAAGGCACTTACCACTATCGTTTCTGCCGCTTCCAGGATCTTGTCGTCAATCCCGTTAAGCTCTGACAGATGGAAGAAAATCCGATAAGGGAAAAAGAAAAGATGGATCGATTCGCACCTTTTTTGTTTGCATGATCAGTCCATTGCATGTACGACTTCCCGCATCCTGAAGCTTTTTCACATCCCCGGCATTGATTCCCTGGGCGGTGACTGGAAGAACAAGAAATCTAGAAGGCCGAGCGATTGGCTTGCCTGTGAGCCTCTCGATCGAGGTGAACCTGCGAGTACCTCCCATTCTTGTAGTCCTTCTGTTGAGGAAGATCTTCAGCTGGCGGGAACGTGAACTTCTTGAAATGGACAGGTCTCCATGCCCCTGTGCTGCTTGATCTACTCGACGTTGCACGTAGACAGCGAGAGCTCCACAAGCCCGGCACCTTGCTGACTGATGGCGAGAGAAAAGGTTGGCAACCGTCTTCCGATGCAACTGCAAGAGAATCGAGGCTGTGGCTCTTGAGCAAATACTTCCCGGGGGACTCCACCAGCAGCAGGCTCAGACGAGCGAGGGGGCACAACTCGAGGAGCTGGGTACATTGAAGCACAGACGAGATTGGGGCTGCTTCCGCCGTCGTGAGAGGGCCGCCACTTGATTTCCGTAGAAAAAAACAGCTGGGAAACAAAAAACTCCGCTAGAGTACATCTCCGATGCTGAGATAAGAAAGTGTTGCCACCGCAAGCGCATCTATGGAATCACGAAGAAGTTATGGGAGTTATACATGCTCACAGCTACAAGTCTAAACTTCTCCAGTAACTTCCCTGACACGGTGCTTTCAACACCAATGTTGGCTTTGATCTCAAGACTTTGCCACCTCAAATGAAAACCATTGTCAAGCAGCTACGAACGCAACAGGGCCAAACTGGCGATATTAATCAAATGTCTCCGATCATCAAGGTATTTAATCTCTACATGGTTTCTTTTTAAGTTTTCCTTTGTCAGGGAAGAAAAAAATCCAGATAGAGTAAATCTACAAGAAAGAGCTGCTTCTGAAAGCACATCTATGGAATCATGAAGAAAATATGTGAGTGTACACATACTCACTAGTACAATACTTGATTTATCCTGTTACTTCCCAAAGAGTACATCCTCAACACAAAAATTGGCCTTTGATCTTAAGACTCTGCCACCTTAAATGGAAACCATTGTTAAGTAGCAATTGATGCACACGTTAAAGCAAGTCAGTGATAACGAAAAGTTGGCAGATCATAACCTGAAAGGTTTAGAGCCAGAGGAGCTAAGATTCAACAAGGACTCGCTCTTGGGGCTGTGCAATTTAATCTTTTATCCAGTTTTACAGCATTCAGTATCCACATTAGTGTATATTTGAAACGTATACTTCAAATATGTAGTGAAAGGTTTAAATATGTACAGTATTATTATAAGAATTCCATTTTTCACTAAAATATAGAGATCACCGCAAGCAAATTCCAATGTAATCACTCATAATATACTTGAATGATAAAAAGGTGGCAGTGTGAGTCTTCCCTGACTTTATGTATACTATGACAAAAATAACAACTTTTCTGATTATGCTTATAAATGGTAAAAGTCTTACAATTTCTTTGCATTAGGGCTACTATTAATCACTAAAAAATTAGGATTATAATATATTTTTTTCAGTTTGGGAGTATTATTTTGGCCAAATGATTTTACTTACTGTTTGGTTTTGTAAAGATGGATATTAAATAATCTTGCACACTTAATGTAGTAGAACTAATATAGTGGAGGAAGTGTTTCCTCTCTGTTAGTTAATACAAAAATTAAGTTGTGTAATGTTCTCATGACTTTGTCACAAAAGTAGAGTACTTAGAAGATTTTTTTTTGAGAAATGTTGTTAATTAGCAATGTTTTACATTTGATTTTACCTCCATTCATATAGAGGGGATTAAAAAGTTGTAGAAGTTGCTTACATATCACAGTTTCTATATCAACTGCTATGAAAGATTCTTTGTTACCATTATTAGTTCTTTTTATTATTCTTTATGATAATTCAGTATGTGAGGTCCAAATGTACAGCTACAATGCCATATACTGTCCAAAGGAAAGTAAGGACAAGTTCAAACCTTGAAAACAATGCAATAGTGTAGGCAAGCAAGGTTGGCTATGGTATCACCCCCAGAGCATGTCTAGAAAGAACCACACCACCCTTGCTAAACCCACAAAACTTCAATTCTTCCATATAGTGGGATTTTAATAGCTATTGGATTGGTTTCAATTTAGACTACTTACTTTTATATATAAGTCAGGGTTTTTGGGTTAATTAATATGCATATTTTCAGTATTTCTTTTCCATAGTCTATGCACTCACATGAAGGAGAAGAGCATTTTTGATTGCCCTGATGAGTGTTTGGATTTAAGATTTTTGGTTTAGATCTAGCTTTTTCCATTTCCTTTCTTTTATTCTTTCCTTTCAGGATTTTGGTTTAAAATTAGTTTTTTGCATTGTCTAGATCTTCTTTTCCTTCTAGTTTGTCTTTTTTTCATTTTTCTTCTTTTGCTCTTTCCTTTTCGTTTATCTTCATGGTAGATTAGCAATCTTTTCCTCCTTTGACTCTAGAGCAATAATTGGTACAATTGCTTGATGTTATATAATTGCAATTGAATAACCAAATTTAGTTGATGGCAGCATTCATGGCATGTGGTACAACTCTTCTTGCTCTTGCTCATGTTCAGCCGAAGTTCTTTCGCGGGAATCTTAAGGATGATGTATACTATTGATTTAATCACTTCACAGTGATTGCCACATATCATTCTTGGGATGATACTTGACGTTTGCATGGGTTTCCCACGTGTTTCCAAGGGATGGCATTGCAGTGGTACAATGGTTTGAGTGTAGCCACTTGTAGGGATTGGAGTGTTCTCCCAAACGTCTTCAAACATGCATTCAAACATACCGACAATTATGATGATGTCTTCCAACAATTGCATCATCTTCGTCAAAGGCCATCTGAGTTAGTGATGCAATTTGGCATTTGTTTCCAAAGCGTTTTACTTTGTGCGGAGCCAAATATATCGGAGCGAATCAAGCTAGGAATGTTGTGGCTAGCACTTCATCAAAATCAAACTTGTGCATGCACTTGCTCCTGCCACCCTTGATGATGCTCTTCACTTAGCACAACATTATCAGATGTCACTTCTTCCATTTCTCACTACATGTCCTTCAACTCCACTTCCTATGGGTGATAGTCATGTTCTAATGGAGGTTGATGCTGCTACTACTCGAGTCTAAGGACAAGGGCAAGGCCATGGTCGTGGCCATGATGTTCGTTGTTGGCCGTGTGATAAAGTTAGTCACATTTATCGGCATTGTCGGCATTTTCCAGATTAGCCATTTCCTGGGTGGAAACTTGGTGTAGTTATACATTCAAGTTTTTCCTACGTGGCTTACTATTACATGATGTAGTGGGTTACAGTAGGCCCCGACTCGGGACATGACCAGTTAGGATTGAGACCATGTGGCAAGGAACCGAGTTGTTGGAGAAAAGTTCTTGATGGACAAGCAGCAGAGGTGGGATTGAGAGAGGGCTGGTGTAGGGTATTCACACTAAATCTGAGATGAGGTTAGATTCTTGGATTGTCATCCTTGTTTCAAGGAGGAGTCATTTCCGTCCACGATCCATTTTATGGTGGAGATAAGAAGTATGGTTTTTCAGTTGTTAAGGATGACTGAGGTCTATTTCTCATGCTAACAATTTATCTTCCTTTTGATGAATTGATAAATTGTTTTGAGGCAGTGAGCTAAGAAATTTTAAACTTGGAAGGGTTGTGATGTGATGCTCACAGACCTTTTGAGATTGTGAGCTGAGAATTGTGTAAATTGGGGCTAGCATTATAAATTCATGGTTAAAGAACTTGTGATGTAATGATTACAGATCTTTTGAGGTTGTGAGTGTAAGCTAGGCTAGCATAATAGATTCATGGTTAAAGAGCTTGTGGTGTGGCACTTATAAATCTTTTGAGATTGTGAGCTCAAAATTGAGAGAGCATGGCTGGCATGACAAAGTCATGGCAAAAAAACTTAATGCTCACATATCTTTAGAGATTGTGAATTAAAATATCTGAGTTGGCTTGGTTCTAGGCAGAGAAATGCGATTGTGATGCTGTGATGAGATGAATTACATGTAGATATTATGCTTGAGTGTGTGCAAACACCCAATGCATGTAAAGATTCATGCAGTTTTTGCAAAGATGAGATGGAGGCTAGAGTAAAAGGTGTAAGTAAAGGAGTAATCGCTACAGAGTAAATTGCAATGTTAGTTTGGATACCATTACAGTGGCCCCGTTATCGAACTTATAAATCCCTTAATATGACTACTTAATTGTTTTAAGGCAGGGCAATATTTTCCGGTACTGGGGATGAAAAGGCCGAGGAGCGCCTTGGATGATCTTCCGGACGAGATTCAGCACAGCGAGTTGCTCTTCTTGGTCGATCGGATGAGGATCACCGAGAGGCGCAACAATTTGTGCTCCATGGGCGATCTCCCCGACGACGTTCTCATCCGGATCCTGTCCCTGCTCGCCTCCTCGCGCCAATTGTATTGGTGTAGCCTGGTGAGCAAGAGGTGGGCGCATCTGGCAAGGCTAGTCACGCACTTCAGGTTGGAATCGTCCGGTGAGCACGAGCAACAGGGTCTCCTTTCCTGGTTTGGCAGCAGCAGCAGCAGCAATCTCCGCTCCCTGTCTTTGACAGGTTCCTCAAAACAGCTATGCTCTTGTCTTGACTGGCTACCGGTGATTGGAAAAACCCTCCACTCCCTTACCATCAGCGTCAGTGTCGATGGTTTCTGGTCCAGCATTCTCGCCTGCCAGCAGCTACGGTGCCTCCATATCAACGATGGTGTCGAGCTTGGTGGCCCGCTCACGACCAAGGCAGCGGCTCCAATCCTTCCCGCGCTCGTCTACTGCTTCATACGCACACGCTTGGACGTGGCCACGACGAAGCACCTCCTCGAGTTGTGCCCCTCGCTCGTCTACTTCTGGCTGACCCAGCTGCTTGTGGAATCGGCCGGGACGCATATGCTCAAGAGTCACAGCCTCGACTCCCTGGTGATTCGCGCCCACAGGGTCCCCGGCAGGAGCGTTACCAACTTTTCTCTCGCGCTCGACATGCCCAAGCTCCGGTGGATGTCTGTCACCGTGGTACCGCGCGTGGAGCTCGCGCCGTCTACGTGCAACGTGGAATGGGTGAAGCTGCATGGGCAAGTGCGAATCATCCAGGGCTTGGTCATGTCCAAGCTCAACAGGCTCACGCTCACCAATACCTTCCGAGGCAATGCCCACGTCGAGCGAATTCTCGAGCCGTTTGTTTGCAGGAGGTCGAGCATCAGTGGCATCAAGCAGCTCGACCTGTTTATGGATTCGGCCGACTTCGAGCCCAGATCCGTTAACCTCGCACAGCTCTTGGAGTCGTTCCATGGCCTGGAGGCGCTTTACATCTTTCGCCTCACCATCAAGGTCCATATATTTTTTTCTCTCAAGGATCGTATGTTACAAACTTGGACTGCTTTTTGTGTTTCAGAGCTTGAGCCTTGCGGGGTGGAGCAGCAGGCGCGCGCCACTGCGGGTGCACATTGACACCTCCTACTCGACTAAGCGGATGCCATGCTGGGACAGTGACGAGATCGAGTTTGTGCAGGAGCTGGTGGTGAGCAGCAGCTGTGTGACGCAGCTGGAAGTAACAGGCGTTGTGTGCATTGAGGAGCCGCCTGAATTTCGGCCCCGGGTGCCTCCGGCGATCGTGGAGCTGGGCACAGCGTTCCCCGGTCGTGTCAAGGTGCATCCCATCCGCTTTGGCATGCCACCGCACTGCGGTATTGTCTGGCGCTGCATGAAGCCCAAGCTTGATTCCGAGGCGCCCTACACTGCAATCCACCACCGGTGCGCAGGTTTCGACGAGAATGCGGAGGCGTGTGCGTGAACCAGCGCCTCCTGGTCAACGCCAGCGTTGGCAATCTGCCATCGGTCAACGGATTGGAGACTAGAGGTGGATCATCTACGCGGCGAGCGGGAAGAAGTCTGCGGGGGTGGTTCAGCTGCTGGTGTATCGAAATGCCAAGCCAGCAGCCGGAAGATTGCTCGATGAGATCGAAGATGGCGTGGGAATGAAACCTCATAAGGTGGCCGAATTGCGGGAGTGAAGGAGCAAGCCCGGGTACAGTTCCATCATCTTTGTGGGGATGCGACACATCACATCCACGCAGAGCTCCAGATGATCGAGAGCAAGCGTCGCCCGTCGCATGTCTTTGGGCGACGCCACAGAGTTTGCGTCCAAGTGGCACAAGCTTGTTGGGAGGAGGATGACAGATCCGTGAAGGCTCATATCAAAGATCTGTCTACGTCAAAGAACTTGAAGGTGGAGTTTTCTTAATGGCCTTTTCTTTGAAAACGACGAGAATCACGGGTTAGGTTGAGCTTAAAAAGGTATTATTAAAATTTTCCTTTTATCGATTGGTTATTAAGATGCCACGTGGCTGAGCTTGCTGGCACTGAAGAGATGGTGGCCGGTTGGCGAACTCCAAGTCGTGAACTTTCAAGACTTCTGCGTCAAAAGCCGATGTCCATAGGCTGACCATTAACCTGTTGAATAACAAAGCTGCTGCTGTTGGTGCGTCTCCGCAAGAAATTGAAAATCGAATCATTTCCTTTGATATCTGGCAATCTTACCTCAGGAAGATCGAGGGGATCACTTTGACCAAGCTGTTCGTCTTGGAAATAAGCTCGTTTACAATCAAACAGTGATCACTTTTTAACAGCAACTGATGCTTTGTGACCCCAGGACTTGGTTGTACTTAAAAAGGAACGCCTGCAAGTGAAGGCGTTCCATGGCTCTGACACTCGTCACTATTCTATCCTTCATTCTTGCTGTTGCAGTTGCCGACTCTCAGGGGTGTAACACCCAGCAAGTAACACTGATGTTACAGTCGTGTTCCCAATCTCCGCACGACTGGCCGACGCAGGCCTGCTGCGACAATCTCCAGGGAATTGCCGAAGCTTGCACCTGCGAAGTGTTTCTCAACGTCACCAAGTTATCCCGGTTGATCTGCCAGCAAAATGTGAGATGGAACAACTAGAATTTCAATTCAATTCAAACAGCTCCATGGACGATCTTTCCGATGACGTTCTCATCCGGATCCTGTCCCTGCTTGTCTCATCGCGCTGGTGAGCAAGAGGTGGGCACAGCTGGTAAGGCTCGTCACGCATTTCAGGTTGGAATCGTCTGGTGAGCATGAGCAACGGGGTCTCCTTTGGCAGCATCAGCAGAAATCTCCGCTCCCTGTCTTTGGCAGGTTCCTCAAAGCAGCTACTCTCTTGTCTTGACTGGCTACCGGTGATTGGAAAAACTCTCCAGTGTGGATGACTTCTGGTCCAGCATTCTCGCCTGCCAGCAGCTACGGTGCCTCCATATCGAATCTGGAATAAGCATCTTCGTCAAATCTTTGAGCTTTTCCCATTTTGGTGGAAGGGAGAAATAATTTTTTACAATTTAGGAGAGAAACATTTGATACATAATTTAAGCAGAACATGAGAAGGTTCCAATGCTACTTGGACTAATATTGTCTATTTCTCATGTTTCTGACCAGATTTTTGTATGCAAAGTGTAATGTGAAGATAACATGCAAGTATGAACTGGGACAGATCTTTGATATGAACCTTCACGGTCTGTCCCGCACAGGAATCCTCCTCCCAACAAGCTTGTGCCACTTGGACGCAAACTCTGAGGTTCTTGATCATCTGTGCAGGGTGTGGCATCGCCCAAACATGGCGATGGGCAACGCCACACCACCATGCTCATCGGGAGCTCTGAGTGGATGCGCATACCCACACTTTCGATGGAACTGTAGCCGGGCTCTCTCCTTATTCACTCCTCGCAGCTCGGCCACCTTATGCTTCTTCCCGCTCGCCTCCGAGCGCGTAGTCTAATACGTTGACCAGGTGGCAGATTGCCTAGGCCTGCGTTGACCAGGAGTCGCTGGTGTACGCACACACCTCCGTGTTCTTGTCGGAACGTGGTGGATTGCAGGGCTCCTCCGAGTCAAGCTTGGGCTTCATGCAGAGCCAGACAATGCCACAGTGCGGCAGCACGACAAAGCGGACGGGATGCACCTTGACACGGGAACGTTGTGCCTAGCTCCACGATCCCGAGAGGCACCTGGGGCCGAAATTCAAACAACACCTGTTACTTCGAGCTGCGTCACACAGCTGCTGCTCACCACCAGCTTCTGCACAAAGTCGATCTCGTCACTGTCCCAGCACGGCACCCGCTTGTTCGAGTAGGAGGCGTCGATGTGGACACGCAGTGGCGCCTGCCTGCAGCTCCAGGCTCAAGTTCTAAAGCACAAAAAGCAGTCCAACTTTGTAATTGGTACACAATATAGATACGATCCTTGAGAGGATCTTGGCTTAAACTACACAGGTCGAGCTGCTTGATGCCACTGATGCTCGACTCCTGACAAACGGCTCGATAATTTGCTCAATGTGGGCACTGCCTCAGAAGGTATAGTGAGTGTGAGCCTGTTGAGCTTGGACATGACCAGGCCCTGAACAATCTGCACTTGCCCATGCAACACCCATTCCACGTTGCACGAAGACAGCAAGAGCTCCACGCAGGGTACCATGTTGACAAACATCCACCGGAGCTTCAGCATGTTGAGCTCGAGAGAAAAGTTGGCAACACTCCTGCCGGGGTCCCTGTGGGCGCGAATCACCAGTCGAGGCTGTGACTCTTGAGCAAATGCATCCCGGCCGACTCCACCAGCAAAGTATATGAGCGAGGGGCTGCTTCGATAGTGGCAACAAACACTTCAATGGACAGTCTGTTTTGTCAATCCTGGATATCACTATTGGAATTGTTCAGTTTTGGATGGAGCAACAGCCACCACTAGAGTTTGATATTAGTGACATGTACCTGAAAGTTCCTTGAGGAGCTGAGAGTCTGAGAAATATATAACATACACAAATTTGTATCTCTTTTGTTTGCATGCTATTTCAAGTAGCGAACTGCTATGTAGATGTCGATGTATGGCATGCAATTTATAAACAGTGTCTGGATGGTTGTACATGGCCGCTTATAAGCGGGCATTGTCCAGTGGCAGCACCATATTGGCTGAATCCAAGTCTACACGTGTATATAGTCGGATATTCCTAGAATATTATCCATAAATATCATGTTCTTGACCCATTTTATAGCCATCGGTCATACAGGCAGGATTTAGGGTCACCCTTTTATGAATCTTAGGTCAAATTCATTTTTCCCAAGCTCCCTAGTCATTCTCATTCATTAAGCTCACAATGTCAGAAAACTAGAAGAGAAAATTGGCATAATACAAGGCAAATAAATTCTTCTCATAGTGTACTCATCTATAGCACTGCAGTGTAAGTTGAACCCACTGTAAGGACTATGGGGTAGACACAGATCTTTAACAAATATTGAAACATAAAGTACCACAACTAATAGCAATTGCCAATAGGTTGTAAAATTTCCTTTGACCATCTTATAAATATGTGAACTTGACCGAAGTGTATTACTAAAGCTATAAGTGCAAGGATTGCCTCATGGATAACAATATGAAATTGGTGGTAAACTAAAAGGTAATAGTAGATAAGTTCACCTAAATACCAAAATTGCTTTTATAACTTTAGAAATAAATGTCAATAGGCAAGTACTAATTGTTGTAGTGAAAAATTGAAAATCTAGGCTTTTTGAATTAGTAAGGATGGGCCAAAACTATCTAATGTATGTTGTTCGTTGTGGCAAAATTGGAATATTCAAAGATTGGAGTGTTATCCATCCTTTGGTAGGCAATAATTTTTTTCTATGCTTCATTGCATTGATCGTTCTCTCACATGGTTCTATTAATTGTTCTCCTCATTCCATAGAGTAAATCAAGGGTTTTCTCAATTGTACAGTGCTTTAGAGGGGATTTTACTCAGCTTATGAAGCAAAGATCTAGCTATAGAAAGGCTCTAGGTTTATGGTTCTAGCCAATGGGGTTAAATCTCATCCATGCATTTGTGGCCAGTACCCTAAACCAACTTCTAGTAACGAGCTCAAATAAAAGGGAAAAAATATCAAAGAAAAAGATACAGAGGAGGATGGGTATGTGACTACTGAAGAGTATCTAGATAAACCACACAGTCTAAAAAATTGTGGCTCTTGTTCCCAAAACAGTAGCAATAAAACCATTCCAAAAGATTTATCAGAAGTTATGACAAATGTATCTTTGTATATTGAAGGAAACAAGTGAAAAATCAAATGCCCAATAAAGGTATTTATTAGAATATATGGAATATTGTCATGATAAACTTGGACTCTATTGTTTTTTTGCAAAGTTTAGACAGTTTGGAATTTCATACTTTATAAGAGTTCAAAATTCACATTCACCATTTTTCAAGCATTGTCATATGAGATTGGGTTCAAAAGCAATTGATATAACAAGTGTTGCATGCACTTCTTGCTAAGGTAGCTTGATAAGAACAAGATTTCCCTCAAGAAATTTTGGGCTGTGGGATGCTAGCCAACCTTGTTATTCATTATATTTTATATTGGCTCACCCGGCTTAAATTCAAGGGAGTCACATTCGAAGTGGTGCAATTTTGAGAGTCATTTGCTATTCATTTCTACAGAAGAAGCAATGTTCAAGTTATTAAGATTATCACTCATAAACCATATCCATACCCATGATGATCTCAATGATCCAAGTGTGCAAATGTGCAAGTTCTCACCCATATTATTGCTAAATTGTAAACACTTGATAAATTGCTCTAGCCAGATTATTGTATGGACTTGGAAAACATGAAAAAGCACATTTATGCCCATGGTGGTCAGTGTGCCAAGTAGGATTTTTCTCGAATGGGGTCTTTGTCGTGCCTCCATTGTCATAGAGTGAGTAAATCTTGCCCTTAGCATGTCTACCACCTCTTTTGGCTTGTTGCTACACTATTGTAGACATGTATTCTTCCACTATATCGGTATAGCTATCATTGATATTCAATTGTGGTTGTAAGAGTTGGTTACCTCTTGGAGCATATTTATGGTGTTCCACACAACAGCTAAGGTGGATGTTAAATCCATTTCAAATAGTCCACCCGCACAATCTTCTATCATCTTTCTTGGGTGCCTCCTCTATTGTTATTGCAAGTGTTGCTATCATGCACATCCATGATACCTAAACATTGTTCTTAAATACTTGAAAAAGAAGCCAACCCACAAACATCACTTGCAAATTAAATCCTTATTAGAAAGCATAACAAAGGATTATAAAGACTTACTAAGTTTTTGTGACACTCCCACAATTGTGTCATACTAGGCAGCATCCTTGGATGCTAGTAGGCACCACCTTCTCCTATCACAAACATTTCTATTGATTGTGATGTAAATGCCAAATATGTACACTACCTGGAATTTGACGAAGAGCTTCATGCAATACATTTTGCATTGGGCTTCTAGCATCCACAATCTGGTCCTCCCAAAAAAGATCATCACCAAGTTTTGTTGCATACACAATGCTAAGCTTTGGTGTCTTCAAGTATGGTCAAAACCAGAATTGAAAACATGTGACCTTACATCTTGGGGCGATTTACAATATATTAGAGTTAAATTTTACTTTTAAAAAGGACGTTTAGAGTTTCAAAAACCAAATCCCCACCATTAGCCTTGAGCTATGCAACTGTCTATATACCTTTCTATATGGTCCAAGCCCCACATTGTTAATAAAGAAATGCAAGAAACACATGTAAAGTGTTTCTGCTT